CTATTTACAAATTGACTGTCTGTGTAAATGTGCATTGTCGATGGTTTAAAGTGTCAGTATCACGCCAGTTTTATGTTTGCTCAGATATTTTTGCAATATTTTAACGTTCTCAGACATAGACCTCCAGGGATTTCAAAACTGAAAGTTCAACATCAAAACAAGGTTATAAATAAAAATTAATTAAATAATTAAAACTGACTGGCCGTTTCTCAGCATAATTTATTTCTCCTGAAATCGCAGTCAGTTGTTTATTGTTTTCTCTCAATTCACAAGCACAAATGATCATGTGACTTCATTTGCATAGTATATGTGAAGTTAGCGTAATATTTTCTCATCTGTTGGATCTTGAGAGATTTCAAATTTGATTGCAGTTAAATATAAATTGCTTAAACTTTTTTTGTTTTCAGTGAACTGTCTCTTTGTTTCGTGTATTTTATAATGCACAGCCAACACACACTCATTTTTAAAGAAAGCTGGTAAAGTTTGCCAAATGTCCATTTTGACTGGGTGTCTGTTTGAAATGCACTTGTGCTTGTGGAACAGTTCAATATCGTTCCATGTTATTTGCCTTGGTCAGGTGCAGGGCCTCTTTCTGTAAACATGGGGTGTTTTATTGGAAAATAAGGTGTTCTGGAAAACATAACAGAAGTGGAGAATATATGAATATATATATATATATATGTATATATATGTATATATATATATATATGTTTATATGTTTATAACAGTGCACTTTTGTTACTTTAACAATATGGAGGGCTTTGGTTATTTTTGCTTCATAAGCATATGTTTGGTTTTGTTTTTATGGGCATATCAGTGTTATTTTTGCATTATTAATAGGCCTACTATTAGAGTATTTATTCATATTTTAATAAATTATTATCTTTAGTTTTCATTTTAATTTATTGTTATTTCTGTTCATTTTATATCAGTTTTTTCATTTATATATATATATATATATATATATATATATATACATACATACATATATTCTAATCAGTTTTTTAATTCAGTTTTTTTTATCATCTAATATTTATATTTCATATAATTTCAATTAACAAAACACATTTTTTAATAGTTTTTCTTTAAAATTAACGATTACAGCATTGGTACATGTAATTTAAGCTTATTTCCATTAGTTGTCAAGGCAACATTTAAAACAAGCAAAAAAATAAAAAATAAAAACCCCTCATATTTCATATTATTCCAGCATTTTTTTGATTAATGATAACAACATTGGCTTGTATAATGATTCATTCAGATTTTGTAAGATATTCAAGAAATAGTATTTAAGTTATTGTTTAATTGATCTTTTTCTTATGTTTTTAGACTGCTGTGCATAAAGAGTCAGTTAAATATTGACAAAATTTCCCATTTTTGACAGAAGCTGTTCCTTTAAGTTATAGAACAAGATGACACTTTTGGCCGACCCACAAAACCAAATGGACGGTTTGGCTTCAGCAATGCTTAGATGAAACCAGATTGATTTGTTCAGTCAAGATCTGGCAGCCAATCTTATTAGTTGTGTGAGATGTGTCTATGACAGATGCAATATACCTGTTTAAAGCCATAAGCAGCATTAGCGTATCAGTCAATCTGCAGAAGGCTGGAGCAGAATTGATTTTTGTGTCAGTTTGTTCTTCTCCAGGAAAGATTTCAGCAAGCTCCAGACTGAAATGGGCACTTTCTGAACTAAAAATACCCTTTGTAAATGAATTTTGTGGTCAATATGTTCGACAGGGTGATAAAATATAGCTGCCCCCAAAATAGTTTTGTTTTCACTGTTGCCTACAAACAGAGTTTAGGTATTTCCTCATTTGTAGAGGTCTAGTGTATTTTTGTGGTTGTATGTGTGTGTGCGTTTGTCACGCAGAGCCCAAGGCCGCAGTCTTCGTTTATCAAACCACACCGGTTGTCACGTTTCCATGGCAACCCTCAGGAAGATGATGAGCCGGCTGTCTGGCATCATTCTGGCCGCTGCGTCTCTGATGTGACCTCTGGTTCACGGCCTGCATTAATGCAAGGCTGCATTGCACCGAAGGCAAACGTGGCTTTATTGGAAGTCGGTTGGATGGTTAGCTTGCCGGTCGAGACTCTTTGAGCGGTTAATGTGCTGTTGTTGTTTGGTGGTCGCTGTGGGTTTGTGTAATGTGATTGGGTGAGTCAACGAGGTTTCTTTCTCTTAAATGGGTCAGTGTATTAAACCCACATGGCAGATGGACCAGCGCGAGAAAAGAGCATAAAGAACGCCCGAGTAATGAAACGGAAGGATGAGGCGAGACATCAATGAAAACCCAGAGAAGGAACAAGCAGCTTAAATGTGATCTAGAAGAATAAAATGAAAGGCTCTTGTTCTCTGTTGGTTTAACTCTGGGGCCCGTTTTAATGCATCCTCCAGGGTTGACTTTGCTTGAGATTTGTCTGAATTAGACGATCAGCTCCCGCCAGGACAAATATCCCTCGCTTAGTTTCCTAGAGACCCGTTGGTCTGATTCACAGAGACAGCGGTATTGTAGAAAGCAGGGGAAAAAACACTCAGCGAGTCCAGCCAAGTTCAGACATGTCTGAGTCATATTTCATACAGATAACAAAAGAAATGAGAAAGAAATTGTATTTTGCCTGAAGAAACGGAAGCCTGTTTTTTTAGGACTGTTAACACTTTACAGTAATGTTTCTTTTGTTAACATTAGTTAACTACATTAGTTTTTCTTAATATCTTAATTTATACATTTGTATGCATTAGTTAATGCACTGTGACCTAACACAAACATGAAGAATTAACAAACGTTTTTGTTCATTTGCATTTTTCAACTTAACAGTTTCAGCAAAAAAGACCTAGAAATTATAATTTTTTCTCTTAAAAATATAATAAAAATATAACAATATATAATAATTCAAAATATAATAATTCTTAAAGTGACTTATTCTTTAACACTTATCAGCCGTCTTTTATTGCAGACGAGCTCTTCATGTGGCAGAATGGCTCTTTGAGATGAAAAGAGTATGACAGAGTGTTAAAATCACACTGTGATTCTGTGAAGTTCATGTCCAGTCTCTACGGATGGAACAGTATGAGACATCTTAAACATTGTGCATGGTTTGAATAGCAGCAGGCAGCATCCGAAATTAACTTTATGTGAGTAAATTTTGAATTTAACATTGTATTTTTATTGATGCACTTGTGGTGCAGAAATGTCAGACTTCAGCTTTAAATGAACTGTTGTGTTTTTATTGTAGCTGCAGTGTGTGTATTTGTCTGATTTGGCGCACACATGCGCTGGCATGTTGAGGTGCGCTGTATGTGGGCATTATGTGTTTGAATCCAGACGTTTCGTAATCCTTCCCCTGCAATCATTTCTGTCGTATCTCTACCCTAAACAGAAACAGCAAACTGTTTTTAAGTTGTCATGCAGTTCAGGAATATTTTTCAGCTAGCTAAAGACAGACACGCGTCTCCTGATGAGAAGTGTGATTGAGTGTGTCATGGCTTGGTGATAGTGTCTTTTCTGTAGTAAGCAGCTCGTGGAATCTGTAAAATCACTGTATAGTCAGCAGTCTGCATGGAGAGAAAGAGATTACTATATTTTAAAACATTATTTTAAGACTTGTACTAAAGCTATGAATATATTTTATTTATTATATATTTTATATACATTTTGGCTTTATTTTGTTTAACCCCATAACTGTCTCTCCTGTTTTTTAAAATAGGCATTAAAATGCACTATCCAAACTTAAATTATTATAATTCATGAACACTTTTGGATACAGAGGAAAGGTTGGTCTCTTTTTAAAGAAGACAGTCAGCAGATTATTGCAGAAGTTGAATGTCAAGAAATTAAAATATCAAAAAGTTATAGAAGTTTAAATTTACTGTAAAGAAAATGCACTGTACAATTTTTATAATATTTTATATAAAATAAATATTTTACATAACAGGTTTTACTCTAAAATTGCTACAAAAGTAAAGCCTTATGTCTAAATAAGTTATGTTCCAGATTTGAAGTTGATATGAAAACAATTGAGGTTTCTGTGAGATTTTATTTAGAGCGTTATACCACAAACAGCCACCGGGTGCCATCAAAACGCCATTGAATTTGTAATGCATTTTTCTGTCACAAATGTCTAGATTTCTCTGTAAATCTTACTTCTATCACAAAATAACCACCAAATATGGAATCCTGAGACTTAGACCTTTCCAATGATATGTTTTATGTCAAGATTATAAAAAGTTTTGATTGTAAAAGACCATAATGCATTTTGTAATATGATACTTGACACTGCCCGCTACGGGGGAGGAGACCGCCAAAAGATTTTAAAGTACCATTCCCATACTAACGCAATGTCCGATTTAAAAATGGTTTGCACAGGGTGAATCTTGGGCTTCTTAGCTTTCAAACGATATATAATTTGATATATATATATATATATATATATATATATATATATGTGTGTGTGTGTGTGTCTGTATACTATATATGATATATTATTATATATATATATATATAGTGATGATTTCAGTATTGAATTATCTATAATAATAATTATTATTATTATTCTACATTGCTGTTTTGAATTTTTAATAATTATTTATTTGCGGTTTTTAAAACTTAGTATGCACTGTTACACCCAATTTATTAGTGTGTTTGTATTTTAAATCTTATTAACAATCTATTGTATTATTGCTAAATTCAGTTGGAATCGAGTTGTCTCCTATAAGTTTTTCATTAGGAGAGCTGAATTATTTCCTATGTAGAAATGAAGTCTATATCAGCTACTTCTAAGGCTTCATTTCTATTTCAGTTTGTAGAGGTTTTGGAGCAGAGAATACTGTATGTAAAATAGATTTAGGTGTGCTGAGAATTTGGTCTGATGCATTCAACCCACACAAGTACATATCTACACACTTCATACACAAAAATACATATACTTTCATTCTTGCTTTCACTGATTGCATAAGGAAATGATGAGGAGCGTTCCTCATTTATAGAGCGAGCGGTCACTGGGAGTTTTCGTGTGGGCTGAAAAACCCCACAGCAGAGCGTCATTAATTCATGGTTAGCAGCTTACACGCGCACACACACACACACACACACACACACACACAAATCAGAGATAGTCTCACTTACCATTTAATACAGCGAGTGCATCCCGGGCCGTTTCTGGCACATGTTGGAGACGGGTTAAGGCCTCACCCGAGGCTATCTGCAAATGTCTTTCGTATGAAAGGAGCCTGTCTGCTAGCTTTACCTCATGACCTGTTTACAATAATGAGTCTCAGAAGTGCCCTGTCCGCTGGGGGCAAAGACAGCAGGCCAGTCCTGAGCTCAGCCAGAACAAACACATCACATGCTCGCTGACGGAGAGATGTGTGGGACGTGGATGAAGGAAGGAGAGAGAAAATGTATTTACATCAGGGTTGATTTTGTTTAAAGCGTCAGTTCAACTAAAATCTAAATTCTGTCATTGTTTACCTTATGCATAATACTGTATATTGGTAACTAGTCCATTATTAGCTGACATAAGATTTTTTTTTATGTATTTTTTAAATGTCCCACTTTATATTAGGTGGCCTTAACTACTATGTACTTACATTTACATTAATCATTTGGTGCAATGCACTTATTGTGTACATACATGTTTTTACATTGTACTTATATATTTAAAAATACCTAATTTAATTACATCTGTAATTAATTTCTGTAATTACATTTATAATTACACTGTTGACCCATCCCTTAAACCTACCCATACCACCAAACCTGTCCCTAACCTTACCCGTATCCCACCTCAATAGCAGCAAAAGTGTTTTGCAATACAATATGAACAAAATAAGTACATTGTACTTATTTTTTGATGTAAGTACTTAGTAGTTAAGGCCACCTAATATAAAGTGTGACTGTATCAATTAATGTATATGCATTTTTTCTTGTTTTTACATTCAGATCACTGTACCTTTGCCATCATTTAACACTCAAAGATTTTTGAAAACACAAAAAATATTGCAGTTTTGTAATTGCAAAATGTAGTCTAATATGTAATCTTTATCTAAGATTGTTAATATAACAATTTATATTTTTACTGTACATTATAATGTGATTCCTAACTTCAACTGTAACATTGAAAACAATTGATTTTAGTCTATCTATATTGTCCAAAATATGGGCACTTCTAAAAAAAATATAATTGAAATTGGAAAAAAACCCAGCTGAAATTTCAGCATCATTACTCCAGTCTTCAGTGTCACATGATCATTCTAATATGCTGATTTGCAGCTCAAGAAACCACAGAAACTGTGACACCGTATGTTTTTTAGTATACCTTTTTTTGAACCTGTCACTATTGACCAATTTAATGTGTCCTTGCTATAGGACACAAATCATATGGAATTATTTTACAATATATTTGTTGTCTCCATTCTCTGTCATTGTATGGAAAAGAGACATTTTCTATAGTATTTCATAAAATAAATAATCTGGGTAAACAATGAGAGAATTGACATTTTTTGAGGAGAACTCTATATCTAAAGCAATGGGACATAGTTGAAGCAACTCACAGTCTATTAACACACTGGAGTCTGAGAGACATAGATTGGTCAGACTCATTCGGGAGTCCATTGGCTGCTCTAAAGTGTGGCTACACAAGATTTATGTGCGTCACTGATTTGCCCCACTTATTTTAACAGTTCCCCACTGTGTCCCAGCAAAAACACGCCAATGTGCAGGTGGTGTGTGTGTTTTTTTTCTTGTGTTTGTGTGTGTGTGGAAACTGAGGAAAACTGTGCCCTTGAACAATGCATCTCACCCCAGGAGTCTCCACAGAGATTCAGAAATCCCTCTGGACAGAAAGCACATGCTAAATTGCAAGATGGCGTTCATTTATTTGCATGCACTTGGATGCAATCCATGCACGTGTTAAATATATCCCTGCTTACCTGTGCACTTGTTTTCTCAGGCTCTCAAACCGCATGATACGGGGAGGGTCATTTCTTCTCATTAAAATTCTGCCATCAGTCTTTGCGCCGCTGCAGGCAGCTCTCAGGTCTTTATTAATTGCCACGGGATACTGTATCGACTCAAATACTCTGCCGCTGTCCGGACTCCAGCGTGCTCTGGGATGCTATCGAAAAATGCGGCATTTGATCATGCTTTATCACAGCAGCTAATGCAGAAAGCACTTTATTCACACCCTGCCTGATGAGGTTACCAGGGAGAAAGACTCGTGTGCAATAATAATGCAACAAAAGTAGTTGCTTTTTTAGCATCAGGGATTTGGGTTAAAATGTATATATACTGTATATGCATAAAGGAAAGTGTATTTTGGGTGCTGTTGTTCTTAAATTTATAATAAGCTTTTAGCTTTTTTGCAGTTCAGCTGTGGTATGATGAACTTTTTTTTTTGTGCCTTGTTTTGTGGTCTTGGCTTTTTTTAAATTTAAAAAGTGTTAAAATTGGGGTCCGTAAGATTGTTTTTCTTTATTATTATTATTATTATTATTATTATATTTCATAAAAAGTAAATTATACTTTCAGTCAGGAAGGTTGCATTAAAGGGACATAATAATTTTACAAAATATTTCTGAAAGAAAATATATTTTCAAAATATGAACAGCACAACTGCCTTCAACATTGATAATAATAAATATTTGTTGAACAGCAATTCAGCATATTAGAATGATTTCTGAAGGACCATGTGACACTGGAGACTGGAGTAAAATTCAGCTTTGTATCACATAAATAAATTAAAATGTGATATATACTGTATATTCAAATAGACAAGTTATTTTAAATTGTACAAATATTTCACAATATTACTGTTTTTATTGTATTTTTGATCAAATGCTGCTTTGAGAGACTGTTTTCAAAAAATCTTACAGACCTCAAATTATTGTATATTCTTGGAATAACCTGCACTAACAAATTATGCATATTGTGACTAGGAATGTGTGTTAAAATCAATGTGAAAGCCTTACTTCCTCGATACATATTTTTGGTCTTCACAAACGATCAGTTCTGATGCATAGAGTCCCCTTCTTTTTTCTCATTGTATATCCAGTTTCACTGTTAAATATGTCAAATTATCCAAGTAAAAATGTTTGCGGATGCAGTTTCTTGTTGAGAACCTAAATGGGTTGTGATTTCATGCTGCAGATACTCCATGCAGTTCACATTCAGCTCAAATTGAATGCATAGTTATGCAAAAGTCCCTGAAATAGTTTCAGATGAAACTTCATTTGAGCTACCCTACTTTATTTCTGATTTTTGGGCAGTGTTGGTGTTTGAACACCTACGGGTTGAGTGGTGTGCGTTGCAGGACCGCAGGGCTCTGTCTGTTATATATGCGCTGTGCTGCTTTAGTGAATTAGCAGCAGCACCCACTTCATTTTCTCAATGAAGAGCATCAGCGGCTGTGCGTGGGTGTTTTGTGGAGTATCTTATCTCACTGGAGCAGTGCTGATAGCAGAGATGAAACTGAATGAATCCTCGTGGCCAGAAGTAGCCCACGACATCTGCCCTCCAGATAGAGAAGATACGCTCAAAAGCTTGCTCTGAATATCTGATGATTTACTCTCAAGCATCACTTTCAGTATTAGTTTGGGTTAAAAGCATGATGCAGAACTTATTTGTGGAGTAAGCATGAGATCTTGTCTTGTCCTCTGCTAAATGTGTCGGTCACATAATAAATAAACTGCTTTTCCCAAAAATAGGGCTTACACATTCAGGTTTAATCATGCACGTATATCTTTTAACACCTCTAAATTCACAGATTAAGTCAGATGTGAGGATGTTTTATCTCAGTTTAACCCGCTTGATAGTTTGTGTAACACTTAAAATCCCCAAACTAAATAAGATTAAATTAAATAATCATGTCTAATCTGTGTGAAAGGGAGGTTTATGAGTTTGCATCTCGCTGTTTTAAATATCAGTACAGAGATGCTCTCGGCTTTAAAGCAGTCGTACTGGAACTGTATTTGAAAGGTTTTGGTGACATCTAGTGGAGGAGTAATGAAACATTTTTCCATGTTGTAATACTTGTCATTCTGCTCTGTTGTTTTTGAGTATAGACTGACATGTAGTCACATTTAATTAAGGAAATTACACTAAATGATATATATATTTTTAAATAACCTGCTTATATGTTCTCTTCTTCTCTTGCAGACACAATGGTCCTTGTTTTTTTCCTGACAGTAACAACTCTACAACCCAACACATCCATTTCAACAGACGAAAATAACAATAGTAAGTGCTCATTATTCATAATAATAGTATTAATAATAAAATGAGCATTGCTCTCTAAATCCTTTTCAGTTCTAAATGCAGAGCAACAAATTTGTCATATACGAGAAATAGTTTATTAAGCAATTCAACCTTCACTGAAGATAAAAAAAAAGATGGTTCTTCTCAAAAGTACTTGATTCTGATTGGTCAGTCGCATCATTTTGCAGTCAAATAGTGCTAAAATTAAATAAATTTTTAGATTAATTAATTAATTCATTCATTTCCTCCCTTCCTTCAATTTAATTAATTAATCAATTAATTAAGGGTTATATCTCCTACTTAACTATAAACACATTTTTTTTCACTGCCAGTTTCCCATTCATTTTGATATTTTGATATAACTTCACTTGTTTGAAAACCAGCATATGTGAAAAAACAGCAGTTTCACTTAAGGTGGCGCTAGATTTCATACTTAAAATCATTTTAAATATATGTTTATATATATATTATTATAACGTATTTATATCATTATACTATATTATAACATTATTTCTTTTGGCTAAAGATTGATATAAAATGTGTTACTGTAGCTCATATGGCATTGCTAAGATCAGAATTTTGGTATGATGATTATTTCAGAAATTATTAGTCATTTCATATATATATATATATATATATATATATATATATATAGACATTTGCCATTTTTCATTTTCAGATTTTTTAATTTTTTCTTTTTTTATAATTTTAATAATTAATAACTGATGCATTTAGCAGACGCTTTTATCCAAAGCG